TTGCAAAGGCGTGCGGAGACCCGCGATACCTATGCGGAAAGTCAATTAAATATTTGGAACTCGCTTTTTTTCCGCGTACCCTGTGCGGAGACCCCGACCGACATGTGCGGGGACCCCGATGCTTACGGTAGCTAACCTTGCTTTTCCACCCCGTCATGTAACTTCGATTGCCTCGTGCCCTGGGACTCGTGTTGCGATCTACTGTGACAGATTAACTGCGCTATCTTCAATTCGCCGGAGGCGCGCGACGATCCCACGCTCTGGCGGACAAGCCCCGAAGGACAGGAAGAATTTCGGTGGAACTCAAGTCGGGCGGAAAGCAGCAACAGCTGGCTTGAAGGTAGAGCGTCAAAATGTACATGTGTGCTCACTCGCCCTCTTGTCTTTTGTGTTGACCCCGGAAAAGAGTTCACTTTTTATAATTGTTGGTTCACTTTTATAACAGTTATTTCACTTTTGTAACAAGTGATTCTCACTTTCATAACAGAGACTTGGCGTTTCCTTGGCGACGGCACAACAGGGCGTTTTCATTAATGCGAGACAGCACACACGAAACGTCCACGGTATACATGTTCTTGTGCGATCTGGTCTGTCTCTTGTCTTCCGACTGGCTTGCCAACATGCACGCCCACACCATCAAAAGACCGATTTTTGCGCCCACGTCGTGTTTCTGTTTTTTTTTGCTGCCATGCTTTTCCCCTGCTTTTCTAGGCTTTGGGGTCGTCGTCAAACAGATGCCTCAAGTGCTGAGGGACTTCTTCCTCAACCACGCCATCCTTGTTCGGAATGAGACCCTTCTCAGGTCCAAACTTATGAGCCAGCACCCTAACTTCGATGGTTGAGATCGGTGGTGGAGAGATGCTGTACAAGTTCTGGTTGTGGTGTAACCTTTGTGTTTGGTCAGCAGTTCACCGCTGTTTTTGCGGGTCTAGGTAGGCATTCACCGATCGTCGGATAGGACCCCCGACAGAGACCTACTGTCACGGGTTGAGTGGTTACTGTCACCGGTTGAGTGGTTCACTCAACGACCTTCGTCGAGGTTGTTCATCTGCCGTGGGGTTCATTTGCGTCGTCGGAGGAAGGCCCGCGGTGGTATCAAAGGTGTTGTCGGCGGGTGTAGTGTGCCTTTAGCCCTTTACGTCTTGCTCGCGGTATGTGCGAACCTAGGTGAACCAGCCGCACACACACGTGAGAATCGTTCTGGCTGCACAGGAGGTTCGCCTTATTTATGCGGTGCACAACACGTACGGGCTTTCCTGCCCGAGGATCGCCATATCGCAATTACCTTCGTCACGTCATGCGCCTGTAACCTGTAGCTGAAGTTCCATATTTCTATGATGCAATGATGCGCTTGGGCAAGTATGTGCTCGTCCCATCGTTCAGTTTCTTGATGAGAGCTGCAGAACTGCTCCAAAACCAAAGTCAATTTTACCGCCTGGCTTTTAAAGGTGACTTGCACGACAGTCGTTTTACTTTTATAAAAGTCCGTTAGTAATGTACACCCACCTCACTTTCATAACACTTTCATAATGGTCAGCTGACAGCCGTTTCACTTTTATAAAAGTCCCCAAACTGACTGTTAGTTATGTGCACCCACCTCACTTTCATAAGAGTCAGCTGACTGTTATAACAGTGTGTGAACTGACACCTCGCTTTCATAAGATTCAGCTGACTCTTATGAAAGTGAATGAACTGACTGTTATAACAGTGAAATATCGATGACTGTTATAGGAGTGAGCCGACTGTTATAACAGTCAATTCACTGTTATAACAGTCAAATATTCACTTTTATAACAGTGAATCCATATACAAGATTGTGTGGGAGCCCGCTCACGCGCGCCCCCGCGCCGTCCGCGCAAGCTCCCACTCCATCCCACACCATTCTCTCGCGCACTCGAGTACGGCGTCGCGCAACATTTTTGCGTCTACTCCGCCCAGCACCAAGCGGAAGACAGCTGACTACACTCTCGGTGAGGTCATCGGCAAGTGCGCCCTCTGCCCGTCAGCCGACGTGACTCGCTGTTGTGCGACCTTCGGAGGCTGTGAAAAATTCGGCACGAAGGGCTGCAAATTCAAGATCAGCATCCTGTCCGCGCCTTCGCCCTGCACAACTTGCCTGTCGGATATCAAGCCCGGCGTCCTCTGCTTGGGCGTACCCAATCCTAACGGCGTCAAGACTAAGAGCGGCAAGCAACGTGCGTGTGATCTATGCCCTTCTCGATTCGTGTTGCGATGTCATTCATGTCTCTGCTTATTTTAGTTCGCTTCGTTTTGTCTTCGTATTGTTTGTTTGACTGGGCGCGCTTCGTTGTTTTTCCGTAGGCGACTTTGTTTCGGTTTTACTTCGTTGTTTTTCCGTATGCCGCTTATTAAACTACTGCCACCGCTGCTGTACAGACGTCGAAACACATGTGGAATAGAGCGGTGCGGTGTGGTGTTTTGTCTTGCGTTCAACGTATGCTTTATTACTTTGCGGTCGTCCTTTGTGGTTTTTCCTCCGGGCGGTCCTTCTTCATTTTGCCTCCTCCGCTCTTTCTTCCCTTCTTGTGTCGTTTTCGATTCTTTCATGTTCAGCGTACATCAACAAACACTACAAGTGGGAGGACTGCTTCGGGCTGAAGATCAAGCTCAGCAGGGACGGCAAGCAGGCCTTCCGGTTCATCGAGAAGGTTGAGGCCGAGGACGCCAGGATCGGGGTGAGGTTTACTGATGCGTGCCGATTCTTCGTGCAATTTGTTTTTTTTATCTCTGCGTTCTGTTTCTTCGCTCTCGGCCGTTCATTTCTTTCACGTTTTGTTTTGTTTGTTGTGTGCTTAATTTTCGTTCAGCCCTTCGTTTACACATTTTTTCGTTTTATTTTTACCTCTGCATTCTGCTTCTTCGTTCTATTTTCTTTAATCAGGAGGCCTGCCTGTCCTGCCAGGGGCTCATCGTCGTTCGTCGCTACCATCACATTCCCGTCATTCGTAGATGCTGCAACTGACTCTACCAACAATTCCCCGTCCTTGCCGCCTTCGTACATCGACTTCATCGGATACATGCACGCAACCGACACCAGCAACAACACCCGACGAGACACGGGGCCGCCTGGGCTACACGACACAGACGAAAACGCACACGCAAATGGCCAGGCTAATGCCCGCCATCCCAACCAATGCGCCGACGGCGGGTGGATTGAGGCAAAAGGCCTATCGCGTTAGAGTAATGTGTCCAGTGTATGTCGGAGTTGCGTATTGAGGTACACGCCTGGTGTGAGAATGTCCTTTGTTGCTTCAGATCATCCGTGTGAGTGCTACACTTCACGTTCGTAGGCATGTATTTAGGTGGGTGCGATCGTTGTCTCCTATATTGGTGTCGAGCTTGGTGTGTGGATGTCCTTTGTTGCGTCAGAAGCGTGAGAGTTCTATCCTGCATCGTCGTAGGCGTGTCTTTACGCGGGTGCGATCGTCGTCGACTATTGGTGTCGTTTTGTTGCGTCACAAGCGTGAGAGTTCTGTGTCGTGTCTTTGGGTGGGATCGAGCGTTGCCGCTTTGCCGCTTATATAAGTTCGAGCTTGGTGTGTGTATGTCCTCTGTTACGTCAGTAGCGTGGGAGTTCGACCCTTCATGGTCGTTGGTGTGTCTTTAGGTGGTTGCGATCGTATGCGTGGTGTCGCCATGTAGGATTTGGCGTATGTCTGAGCGTGTCGATTGCATTAATACAGTTTATGTCTACGTGCCAACATGTTGTCACACGACAGACATGCACGTCAAACGGGCATCCTCAACGACACATAACTTCCATTAAACCATGATCCCCACACGTACCGTCCCCGTGTACCTTGGGACTCGCTCCATTGGGCGTAGCGGCGTAAGCCGCCAAAAAACTTGTATATATATACATTTGCCTTGGTCTAGGAGGAGCCGTTTGGCGTTTGGCGTTTGACGACTCACACGATGGAAGAAATAATCTGGCGAAGCACACGAAGTCCGGACCACGCGGGGAGGCGCGCCAAGGTATCCTGGTCTTCTCTCGGCATAGCCTTCTCCCATCCTCATGGACTGCATGAATGCTCCTCCCAGTGCAGATCTCTTTTCACGCGGGTGCTGGCGTTGTGTTTCGTTCGCGCCCCTCTCGCTGAACCGCACTGTCACTCGTACGCCAATGACATGCGTCCAAGGAAGAAGAGTCATGCCCACCTGTATACTCTAGCTACTGCCGGTCGCCCCGGTGGTCTAGTTGGTAGCCTCGTAACCTTCTAGAGGTCAGGTCAGGGGTTCGAATCCCGGCGTAGGCGAGCTTTTCTTGCAAAGTGAGTTTTTCTCTCGCTTCCGCTCCTGGCCAAGTGGATAGCGCTAGTTCGTGTGTACACAGAGGGAAGAGAGTGCTGAACTCTTCTCGCATTAAAAATTGAAGGCGAAGTACCGCAGGAGGGGAGGGTAGAGATAGGCTCTTCTGTGTGACCACGGGTTGGAATAAACGGCACTAGTGCTGTGAGCGCTGATTTGAAGTGAAGAACAAAAAAAAAAAAATACTGCTGTCTACATGTAGCCATTTTCTCAAGCAGGCGCCACGGCGCCACTCAGTTGCTGCCTATGGTCCATGACTTTAAAAACAAGAGGTAAATACACATGTTCTACTGTCATGTACATACCGTGGGGTTAGTGTAAATACCAGCATGTACTTCACTACACATAGTAGTTTGCTTTTGCTGTGTGGTACAGCAGTACAGAGTAGCATCGATCATACACGCCTGGACGGTCGCAAGTGTCCCCCCCTACACACGCAAATCGTCCCCATAGAAACCCCCCCCTTTATTCAACCCCTTGCCACGTAGTGTCAAGGTTGTTGTACAGCAAGGCCCAAGGGATTGCAAGGGCAAGTGCAAAGGCGGCTGCTTCGTAGAACGCCTGTTGCTACCCTCTCCTTGGCCAAGGACTATCGCACGAGTGGCCCTCGTCGCTTTTGCCAGAAAAACAGTGGCTGCCAGTTGAAGAGACAGAGAACGCTGACAGCAGCAATGGTTCGCAAGAAGATGAAGAGAGTGGCTGATGCGGTTCCCCCTGACAATCAAGATGCGTCTGGGCTGACCGGCACCGTGTGCTCCTGGCTCAAGGATCTAGACCTCGTCGGCCACGAGCTGTTGCCTACGATTTCGTCTGACCTGGATATATCCAACCTACCGTGTCGTACTGGCGAGACCTCAGCAGGGAGTAGTGCGGTAGAGAGCAAGTTTGCCCAGGCGCGTGGGCTGCAGGCATTGCGAGCGGCTGTCGCCGGTGGGTCGGCATCCGTTGAGGATCTACGCTTGATATTCCTGTACGGCCTCTTGTTGTACATCGATCCCGGCACCTCGCATCTCCGCAAAGCCATCAAGAGCTTGCTAGGAGCGACGGAGAAGATCATCCAGGAGCAGCAGCTTGAGAGCGGCAACAGCAGCATGACAGATAGCATTGCAGGGCTCGTCGCCGCCAGGTTTGCAAAGCGTTCGTGGGACTTGCAAGCGGGTGCGGCGGCGACACATGACGGAGCAGATCGATCAGGAGGGACGGCGACGGCAGCCGCGGCTGTGCGTACGGCGGTATCACTGTGAGTTGCCAGCTCCACCTGTTCCTCACTATACTGTGTAGTCAGGGTGCTGTGATGCTAAGGGGACCGGTTGAACAATGGTACAATTAGCATGCCCCTGCGGTAACCTACAGAACTGCAGCAGATTGTATGCGGATGCTACAGTATTACACTCGACGACCATTGCGTGTCCGGCAGCGTGTGTTTTCCTTCTGTAACCGTGCGCTTGTAGGAGGAATACGTCTTTGTCTCGCTGTACAGCAGTACTGCTACAGCAGTTCCTGTCTACTGTACAGCAGTACTGCTACAGCAGTTCCTGTCTACTGTAGACCAGGTCCGAGAAACATCTCCGCGCCGTTTTCTCGTCCCATGCAATCCTCCAATCAAAGGCAACGGCTCATGGAAGTTCCCGCGGGCAAGCGAGCGCTCGTTGCAGCCCAAGAGGGAGTTATTTTACTTCGGTTTATCGAAGTGCTTGATGCCTCGTTGGCGGTGCAAGTGGTGGCGACGAAAGGGTTGCATGGGCGCTGCGTCTTTGGACAGCACCTGGGGGGGCATTCAGTAGGAACTGGAGCTTCGAAGACCGACTCCGGTGTTCCTGCTAATGCTGCGCTAGAGAGGAAGGGCGTGGGTAGCAAGGATGATTCCGCCGCGGACCTGTACGCCAAAATAGACTGCTGTAGTGAGCTTCTGAAGGCAGCAGCCTGCCTCATGCCGTTGACCAGGTGAGTGTAGGGAACAATTCTCCAACGTAGGTATGGAACCTGTGGAGATTCTGTACATGTACCTGCTGCTTCTTTTGGCCCTAACGTGCAGCACGTACAGGTTGAACGCGTCGTTTTCGCGTACGTACGGAAAATGGTAGCGCAATAGGTTCAAAAAGGCTTACAACAATCTTCAGCTGTGCTTGGCCGAGTCAGGTAGTCCCTAGAACAATGTATACCATGGTTCGGAGCTACAATTGTCTCGCGTGTTCGTCGATGATGTTGATATTGTTGTGTGTTTTGTGGTGTTCGTTATTCTTTCCGGGCACCTACGTACTACAATCCGCACTGCACCATCCAACAGAGGGGGAATCCTTGTGTGGTCACAGGCCAACTACCCAAGAGAACAATTGCTACGAAATGGCACTGCGAAAGTAGACACACCAAGATCAACACAAGAGATTCGGACGTATGCTGAGCGTGTTGACAAGTAAATCACCACGTAGCAGCCGAGAGCACCTCACCAACCCAACTGTCCTCTCATTCGGTCTCCTTCGTCCAAAGGGAGTGGCATGCGAACCAGCTTTCTCGGGGAGGATCTACCTTGCGCCGCATGTGCCAGTCGTGCCTGCTGTTGCTGTCCATACCGTCCATTCACCGGGAGTGCTCTACCCATGCGTCGGCTGTGCTGGTTCACTCGGCCGTGGCGAATTGGAGATCAAGCAGGGGATGGCCATCGGACGACTTTTGCCCTCCAGTGGGCACCGCAGCCCCAGCGGCAGCACCGTCTGTACCAACCACGGCAGAAACTACAGCTACAGCCGTAGAACTACCACCGCCGCCAACGCCGCCACCATCAGGAGCAAAACCAGCGCCGAAGTCAACGGCAATAGCAACAGCTACAGAAGCAACACCAACCACAGCAGCCGGCTCTGGTGTGTATCTAAGTGCTTCCCACCACCAAGGAGGCGCCGCACGCACGCTGAGTTTGACACTCGCAGCAAACACTATCAACGCGTCGTTTTTCTCGGACGGGACGGAGAAAGCAATCGCAGGGAGTGGTGACACGGACGGGGTGACCGCTCTGCTGGCTGGGTTCATGCCCTTGCCGGCCGGCTCAAGGCTTGCGGTCTGCCGTGCGCTGTTTCACATTTTAGACCCAAGTGTGCTTCTCGCGGTGCTCGGCTCGCAAGTGCCAACGGAGGGGAACGTCATGTCGGAAGAACCAGGTAGGGGAGCCGGCGCAGGGGGGCTAATGTTTGGACCCATCTTGCGTGCGATACTGGTGCGAAGTGAGGCGGACAGCGGATTATCCCTGCGATTCTTCGCTTTGCAGGTGAGGAGCACTGGGTGTTGACTTTCCCTTTTCTTGGCGCTATTGTCGGTGTGCTGTTGCTGTCGACCCTGCTAGTTTCGGTTCACTGAATTGTTTTTTGCGGTGCACTGAATGGTGTTTGCCGTTGCGGCTGCCTTCGTCCTTCAACTCGCCTTTCTCAGCCAGGCTCAGCCCAACCTTGTCTATCTCGTTTCGAGGCCACGCACCAAGCTACCGGCCATGCGCCGAGAGGCAAGAAACCCGTTTCATCTTTGAGTTGCGGTGTCAGTTGTCTTGATCAAGATGAACGCGGTCCAAATGCCAGCTATAACTGTTGTGCATTTGTGCGTTCGACGTATGGCTGCATTCTTGATGACTTATCCCACCTACAGCAGTCATTAGACGTTTTGAGCGAAGTACGGCGAGACAATTGCTGGTGATGTTCTTTTTCTGTCATTTTGTGTCGATCGATGTGATTTCAGCATCTTGCGGCTTTCCTCCAAACGCATGGCACTGTCCTCGCCTGGTTGATCTAGGCTCTGATGTACTCACAACTATCAATTGCTTGTTTTCGCTTTTTGGCGCAGGACCAACAAATGACCTCTTCTGCCTCACAGCGGGGTACAATATCGTCCACGTCGTCGTTTTTTGAAGCCATAGAGCTTATTCCCGCCCTTTTTATGCTCGACGTGTCTTATTCTGCTTTAGGTTCTCGAGGCTTGGTGCAACAAGGTCAAGTCGTTTACTGGACGTGGCCTTTCCGTGCCAGCCGGATCTTGCGACGGTTGCTCTAATAGCGGCGGCTATTCGAGTGGCCTTAGTGTGGATGGAGACGTCGTAGCGGACTCGCTGTCAAAGGTATCGGATCGGGAGTATTGGCTCTGCACATTCTGTTGGTGACAATCATTGTGTCAAGTTGGATCTCCAGGGGATAGGAGTGGTGAAGGGGGACATGGCGTGACCGGTGTTCGTGGAAGAGTTTTTCCCATCTCTGTGTTCATTTGAGATGGTTGGCCGAGAGCCAAGCATGTACCTCTCCTGGAGGAGGGGCACATACGTACAGCAGTGTCTGTTTCGTTTTAATATTGCACCGGCCAAATCCTGGAAGACTTTGGCAGTCAAAAACTGGTTGTAATTCAGAATATAGAAAGTTGGATCGCCCACACTAAAACAGTTTTTCGTATCGTTCCCTCTTGGTTATCCCATAGTGGAAGTAAATCCGAAGGTTGCTCCAAACACCACTACCTTGTACCCCCTTGTGCCAACGACCTGGCTTGGTGTCCTTGCGCCCTCTGCACATGCCCGTTCTGGGTAGGTACTGGAGGTCACCATGTCCGCTCTGGTGCACCCTGCAAAGCTCATTTCGTCCATGGCGCCGGTACTATTAGAGCACGTGTTTGCCATTCGACAGGTGAGGCGCGGCTGTACCTACGTGAAATAGTTGTTGGGAATGTTTTGTATTTTTCTGCCTTGTGTTGCATCTTTCCGCTGCTGTTGCTGCTGCTTCTAAAACTGCTGCAGCCCCTGCTGTTTGATGCTATCATTGCTTTTGTTGTCGTCGTCCGCACTCTTGTCGGTGGTAATTGTCGTGGGTGCCATCAGTTTGTTTTAGTTGCTGATCCGGGCAATAAAGAGACGCATCCACCGCCGACAATCATCCTACCGAATCGAGAAACGACGAAGATGGTAGTGTGAAAAGCTGCGACGCACGGCATCCTATGTTTTCTATGGAGTTGATGCTGGCCTCCTGAGTTGGGACAAGAAGGACTTTGCTTGGGCACGATCTCCGGCGATCGCACGGTCTCACCCCAACTCTTCAAACGCGAAGAAATAGTCTTTGTGGTTCTACGCGGAGAACCTCTGTGTTGTATTCGACGCTGCGCTAGATGATATGGCCGTTGGATATCAATTCTTCGCACACACGCACATGTATTCGACCATTGCTTTCACTACGCCTTAGCTTGCAGTATCTACTATCCGCTGATGTCTGTGACGTATTTTGGCACTTGAATGAACCGCTGTAAATATTTCAAGCTGGTGCCCGGCGGCGATGGCGGAGTCGGAGAAGGGGAAGGCCGAAGTGAGCCGGAGCGGCTGGTGGGGCAAGTCCTGAACCAGCCAGGTAGAGAGAGACGGAGTGCGGGTACGTTTTTGTGTCTGGCGTGTTCTTGTGTCGTCGAATTCGAATGAGGGTTCTTCGAGAACGAAGACGACAACAGCAACAGCAACCCCTGCTGCTGTTGGGGCAGAGCAAGTCCGCTGCAGTGGTTGTGGGGCTGCCTACTCTCCCCTGTATTCTCCGTTGTTGTTTACACCTGCAACCCCCACACCCACATCCGACTTCGACACCCGTGTTCGAACCTCCATCGTGGCTGCTTGCTACGGTTGTTTCCGTCCGTAGCTTTTCTTTTTCTTGGTGTTGGTCACATTTCGCCGCTTTTCCTGTTTCTTGCGTGTGAAGTCATGTGGGACCTTGGGCTTGTGTCCAATCGGTTTGTCTTTCCATCGTGTCCCGTACGTCGCCTGTTGACATGTTTGCTGTAACGGCCTGCGTTTACAGCCCCGGATCCTTATCGCACAATGTGCATGGTTGGTGGGTATCTTCCTCGGCGTACGAGGTGCTCGAAAGCAATCTCTCTATCAATTGATATCATGCCATGCACGTGTCCCCGCCGCCCTTCTGCTGCCGTGACTGCTCGTTGGTTGGTCCTGACGCCCTCCATGTCTGTGGTTGTGTATGGCAGCGACAGCGAAGAGGAATTTCCCAAGGGGCTTTGTGGGTGGTTAAATCTGTACGCTGTTGGTGTGCTAAAAGTTGTGTGCTTGATTCCTGCGTATCAATATTTGGGCGTTGTTCTCAGTGCTTTGAACGGCATCGAAGGGTACAGCCAAAAGTTGGTGTTCTCCGAGAAATCGATGCATTTCGCTTCAAAACGAACCTGATACCAATCCATCGCAAGTACCATTTTTTGTTTTCGTGAGGGTTTGTTTGTGCCTTCACCGTGCTGTTGTGTTTTCTTCGAAGTGGCACCATTTTCGTTTTTTATCTGTCGCACTCCAACCCAAACCACCTGGTATGGCTTTGCCTCTCTCCACCCGAACAGCTCCGACCCTTTTGTGACGATCACAAAGATGTATGGCTCTGCCGTGCATGTGTTGTTTCCTACTCCAACGCGTCGCTCTTTTTTGGTTGTTGTTTTCCGCTGTGCATATTTGCAGCTGCATCCAAGGGCAAATACGTGGCGCTGTCGGTCCTCCTACCCAGGGTCGGTGCTATCCGAATGCTGGAGCTGTGTCCCTCTCTCGTGGAGCAGCTCGTATGGGCGGTTGGTGTCAGAGGAAACATTTCCGGGCAGGCGGTGTCTCTCCTTCTCCAATTTCTCAAGGCCGTGTCCGAGGAGGTGGGTGAGGCCGCGCCAGGCCTTGTGGTCAAACACTTGACGTTCGTCATGTCAAACTATAACGATGTGTTTCTTGTGTTTCGACCCTCCACGTTGTCGTATCATGCGGTACCTCTCTGTGAAAGATGTCCTCCTTACAATAGTTGTCCAGCCTCCGACTTGCGTTCTGATAATCATTAAGTGGTTTCTCGTTAAGTACGTTTGCGTTTTTGTGTGTCCTGGTTCCTTCTATATATTCTGGACGCCTTGTCAACACACCTTCCGGTATATGCTCTGCCGCACCAGCCGGCGTCACCTTGAAGCAAAGCATGGTGTTCTTCGTCGTCTTGTTTTGAGCTGTTGTCGCGAGCGGCAACGACAATTGAAGCTTCAGTTTGAGCTATTTTCACGAAGAAGGAAAAATAGGGATGGTGACGTGACCGTGTCCCAACAAGAGCAATGCCTGTTCGACACTGGAGCACGAACAGGAAGACAGCACCTACTAGTAGAGGGTGTGGTGACTGGAAGGTAGTTTTTGCCCGCTCCGACAGAGGTCTCACACAGAGAGCGCACCAGAAATGCAAAGGTTCACGGATACAAACCCGCTACATAGCAGACCAGAACAGTAGCAACACCCACATCACCCAACTTATTTATTTATGGCACTTCGTCGAAGCGCGAACGCACGGACCATGGTAGGTATCAGACCTTCCTATTGGTCGTCCTGATCCACGTTGTGTGACAACATCAATGCACCAACGTCCCTCTCCGCAGCAATCGTCGGCCCCTGAAGCTGTCGTAGCACGCGCGGCAACATCGCCACTGGCAGAAAGGAGTGGCACCGCAACATTAGTACCGGCAGCATCACCAGTAGCGAAATTAGGGGCGGCAGCATCTCGCCGGAGCTCAATAGCAGCATGCAGGAGTTACTGGGTGGGCCCCGCTGCGGCGGCTCTGATGCAGGAAGACTTGTGGTCGCGCGGTCACGTCGCAGCGTACCTGCTACCGGAGGTGTGGTGCGCGAGAACCGTGGTGTAAGGTTCTTTTGGAAGCTGTTTCTTGCTTCTTTTGTTTGTGTCGATATGGGCCATAACAGTGCAGGGTTGTACAAGTGCTGAGAAGAGTGCGGAGAACCAGCTACTGACACCGTCCTCTTGTTACCTTTCTGCTCGTGTGTTTGTCCGTCATCCACTGCATCCCACCTGTGAAGAATCGGCGCTGCGCCCTCATCGCAGCCATGTCCGCTTGTGATAGCTTGGTCTTTGCCTTTTGCCAGCGTCTACAAGTCGACAACCGTGCTTATCCCACGTGTCTGATACCTCCTCCGACAACCCTACACCAAAAACAACAATTTGACCGGTTTGGCAACCCTCGCTAAATAGCCGTGAAATATTGAGATGGTATTCCCATCCATTGCCTCGCTGTTGCGGGGAGTGGGTGAAGATCCTGTTGTAGCACGTGTCTTGCCCGCTTCTACCAATGTGCGCGGCTATAACAAGACGTTTCAAGCGAGTTCGGCAGCTTGAATCTTGTAAATACGGCAGTGGACGGCCTGCAACTCGTGAGGTCAACACCTTGCATGTCCTTGTGATGTTTCGGCTTGTCGCGTGAACGTCTCGCCCACCCCGGTTCCACTTAGGTGTTCAAGCTTGATCCCAGGAGCGTTTCAGACCTCTGTTTGGAACTCCGTTCACGGGTCAGCTTTGGCACTGGAGAAGAAGAAACCAGCGGAACGCGTTGTTTTCTCGGAAACCCGCGCGAAGCCGTGATGGAGCCGGATGTGCGCCGTTTGTGGGCCTTGATGGAAGTAAGTGGTAGTGTCGTTGTTGTTTTTTTGGTTGGTAGTGGTCCTTGGTGGTGGCGTTGGTACTGCTGCGCTGAGGCTTGTTGAGTGGGCGGTTGCAAACGTAGGTTGGCACTTAACACTTTGATATATCCAAGTTTTCGCTGTCGCCATCAATGCTGTAGTTTGTCGATCATGACATGGGAATCGTGGGGTGTTGATTAGTGGTGTTTATTTTGTTTTGGAGCTGGCGCTTCGGCTGCTGGTTTCAAGGTTGGCGGTGGTTTCGAGATGCAGCAATAGTTCTCAAGCTACTGAGAGTGCGTGGTGGAAATTGTGGTACTTGAGTAACCCCCCCCCAGCCGACAGTAACCGCGCCCCCGGTGTTTGCCATCGGGGTTGGGTTTTCGTCGTTTGGCAACGACGTTGTAAAACAAGACAATTCACTTCGTGAACTCGGCAACCAGGTTACCGCTTTTTTTGCGGTAGCCATAATGGTGGTCGAGTAGATCATGCTGTGCGGGGTCGAGAACCCTCACTCCGTGCAAGGGGATGATCGCACCACGTTGTGCTAAAAAATGGTAAAGCATCCTCGAGGCAGTTACACAGTGCTTATAACTGTCTCTGGAAGTGAAAGCACCAGAAAATAAATTAAGTCATACGCAGCTGTCATCCGTATGCAAGGAAGTAAGCACAAGATGCCAAACACCCGTAGCAGGATGCAGCGCACCCTTCATGCGACTCGCCGAATACCTCACGGCGCTTCGCGCTTGGTGATGTGAGAGCCTGGTCCGGTAAGAACCCTGCGTGCTCCGTCCCGGCTGTGTAGGGATGCGAGGTCAATGGTCTAATGACTACGGCATGCACGACTACGAGTACACCCCCCCCAGCCGCCTGTCGGCCAGCCCGCGAAGGTGTGCGCACTTCTCCTCGTGAACATTCCGTTCGGGGGGCCCGCAGTCGAGAGACGTCAATTTTGTGTTGAGGCTCAGTTTACTATGTTGTCGACGTCATTGAGCATAGGCTGCAACCCACAGTAGGGCGTTCTGTAAGATCTACCGTTTGAGGTGTGTTCCTGAGCCTGCCCCTGTTTCTTTACAGATATTTCTCAGATGCAAGCCCGGGCCGTCCGCTGTGGACTACTTTACCTTGTAGATGCTAAAGTGTTGCCCTTGCTGACGATCACGCCGTGCCGGCATCCCGTACGGTGTTTGTCTCCAGGTTGCGAGGTTTGCACGAAAATGTGGTTCTCTGGCAGGCCTTTCAGTGGTCGCTGTTGATTCCACCGCAGGTGAGAGCTTGGTGACATATCTTGCTGTTGTTTTCTTGTTACTGCTACTGCAGTTTTGTTCTTGTCATGATCGTTCTCGTTGGTGATGTTTGCGCGTAAACCGGCTGCGGCGACCCTCAAGTGCCCGCGTTTGCTTCAAGATACATTTGCAAGCAACCCACATGAACTCGGGGTTAGGGCAGCAGCGTTTGACCTCACCATGTGGTAATGGTGCTGACTGTGATTTTTCAAACCCATGTTTGGAGGTGCCAGCGATACCGAGAACCACGGGGAAAACGCGTTCAATGAGAGTGTTGCGGATGCAACGTTCATTCAGGGATGGCATCGGTGACGCCAATTCCAGATCCACGCAGTTTCGAAACAACTTCAGTCCCAACTCAACTCCGGCACCTGCTCCACACATAATTGTCAAGGTTTGCAAGTTCTCATGATGTTTCCGGTACTTGTTCCTCCCGCGGTTTAGAAGTGATCCAATCTTCCATCACCCTCCGCACCGGTTTCCGCACACGGTTGTCAAGGTGGCGCTGGCCACGGGATTTTCTTCAAGTTGGTTGCCGTGACATGTTCTGTCTCGGGTATGTTCTGCGCGGCACGTGTGCGCCAGATAATTGCACTCTATAACTTGCCAATACATAACCGTAGATTATCACGTGAAGAGGGTCGAACCGTCGAATTATTTCGTTGTTCTTATGTGCGATGTTGGCCTTCAGGTCTGCTGCAGCTGGAAGAAGTAAAATGGGCTGCGCTGCATGCAGACGAGACTCTTCGGATGTCAGCACTATCGCTGCTGTGCGCGGATCTGCGGGTCACGACCGTCCCGGCTCAAGCCGAAACGCGTCTTATTCAAGAGGTGATCGATAGGATCGATTGGATTTTTGGTTGGTTGTTGTTGAGGCAGGTTCTCATTGGATGACAGAAATAAATGGCCACACTACCCGAGGTGAAATCGCGTACGTTCTGCACTGATTGGATGATGACCACATGTAGGGTCCTGTCGAGGCGTGGTTTGTTTGGACTCTTGTTTACCACGGTGTGGGTCAACTGATACGCTGTTTTTGAGATAAGACGGTCTGAGTGCCAGTTTTTTCTTGGTTTCCGGATGGTGCGAGTGTGTCGATTGGCCAGGTGCGTCGGAACGAGCCACGGCCGACCCGCAACGCAACACTTGGAGAGAGAGTCAACGAGTTTGACTGGCTCCATGGATGCTTGAAGAAAAACCCGTGGTACCCTTCGTAATATAATGTACGGCATGCATGAGTTCGGAGATTACAATGGAAATCGCGCCGGGTCGCACACCAGCAGTTTCTCCGAGATATGGTGATTCCACTCCGCCCGTTGATCTCCAAGCTCCTGGCGCGGGATGCGTTTCCGTCGAGTTTTTGCCGAAGAACGCGATTTTTTCCCCTAAATTTCCAAAGATAGGCACCCAGGTCGGATGCACTTTTTCTGATGCGTTGCCCTTGCGCCATACTTTCTGGTTTGACCGTTGGTCTCTGGTTGCGGTAGGTCATACAAGCGTGTCTGTTACGAAGTACATAAACGTCGACACCAATATCAATGTCGACGGTTGTCAAGGAGGTCTCCGGCTCCGGTACATCGATGTGAATTCACGTCGACACAAACATCGATGTCGACCGTTGTCAACAACCCTGAGGGAAAACCCACAATAGCACGTAACAGTCTTCGGTCACGTATGTACCTGTGTCGCAAACGCCAGCATGGCGTGAGAATCATGACCGCATCTCGCCCCTTTTGGCGTCCCACACCAGGGGAACAGCACATAGAAAAACTAACCTCGTTCCAGCTTATCGTTACAGCACGGAAAACCTCCGACGTCCCCCCCCACTGCTGTGGTGATGATCACGAGTGTCCCGTCCTCAAAGTGTGATATTGTAAATTCACCGTCCGTGTTCTGTGCGGTTGCGCGCAGGTGCTGCCTTATAGCCTGAAGGTCTTCGGGGCTCAGAATAGGCAACTACTGCTCAGGGCAATGCAGGTATCTACCCTGCGTCCCTGCGCAATACACCACTCGACGTTGATCCGTGTCCGTTGCTGTTTAACTGTCTGCGGATCTAGGTGGAAGACTTGGGTCTGCGGTCCATTGTTGGATCCATTCAAAGCGCGTTTTTTTCGACGTTCCCATTTGACCAGAAATGGCAAGTCCTGTTTTAAAGTTATTCGATGCAAATGAAGGCTTACAAGCGCTATGCTGCCCGTACAATTTTCAGTGTCTTGCGTCTTTTGTCGGTGGCAGCGGGGATGGAGAGCCCCGCCGAATCATTTTGACACCCGCCTCGTGGACCTTCGTACCTCCTTGCTTTATCGCGCTGGAGTCTACCGGACCTGGTGCCCGTGTGCCGCAACTCTCTTACCATTCATGATGCTGTTCATGCCTTTGGCGCGCAGACCCTCCTGATACGAATGAGAGAAACCGCCAGAGTTTGTACCCGAGGCCAATTGGGCGCACCACGTCTAGCAGGCGATCACAAACGGCAGAAGAAGAAACACGGGCATCGTGACAAAGGTGAAACGCTATTGTTGCACCCTTCCTGACTTCTGTTGATATATATCTGTCACTTCAGCCACCCGCACGGCAAAGAACCCAATGCTAGTTGAGTTTATGGCAGGCAGTGAAGTGCCGTTTACGTGCTGTTGTTCCGAGTGTCACGACTTCCCCTTTATCTTTGATATTTTACGTCTTGTCCCGGTCAGCTTTTGACCACATGATTCCCTTGCTTGGCCTTGAAGACGTACACTACAGATGTCGTGGTACTGCGGGACAAAAGTTGCTCGAGTGGTTTTTGTTTGAGGAGAAGATGGGCATGCGTCGAAGGAAGTGTGTTCCATGCCGAGTACCCCTGGTGGACGAACGATGGTAGGAGAGGAAGTTGGATGTTGGATTGCGTTTTCTTACTCTTCGAGCACTTCCCTTGTACCATCGCTTGCTAAGTGTTCTTTTTTCGTAGCCTTTTCTTTCTGCGTGATGTTTTTGTGTGTGCGCCTTTGTGGGGGTATGTGATTGGCCATGACCACGAATGTCGTCGTCCACGCCAGTGTCGAAACCTTCTTGACTTGATCTGGACCGTACGCATGGCCCATCGTGACGGAATAATCCGGTTCGAAGGAGTTCCTACGGTAAGGTTCCTGCGTGGGTATGCACACAACATCCAAGAAAAATTGACAGGAGCTAAAATTGCTCACCTTTTTCTGTGACGCGTCCTATATGCGGTCACAGGTGCCGTCCAGAGTTTAAGCGGAGGGATGGAAGCAAGCGATGCCTCTGCAGAGGGAGAGGGGACACCAGCAGAGACGCCCTCGGAGACCCTTCAGCGCATTCGTGACTTCACGCGCTGGCTTTGTCGGGTACGAAACAGTTTTCAACGCATTTCCGTGCCGTGTGTCCACTTGAAGTTGGCTGCCGCTTGATTTCACCAAATCACGTGGAAATGTAGAGTGGGAGGGCAGCAGGTCGAAGTTGAGGAGGTATCATATGCAGTTGATAATTCCGGAGCTGTGTTTTCGTTAAACGATTTTCGTTGAACGATGAAAGGTCTCCTGCCGTGCAGGCCAAACCTTAGACTTTCTACCCGGCGCTATACCTGTTTCAGGCAAAAGGAAAATGTATACCTCCCCCGATCTAGTATTGTATCGGCACGTGGCGCGTGGGTCGTGTCCCGTAGCAAATTTGCAGGTTTCAGCATTCCCAAGGGTTGTCAAGCATTGTCGAAGTGAACGTCGGCCACACTCCACACGCCCATGTGCGATTAGGTGTGAGAGCCATTGTGATGCATCACGATCACGTGCCCTCAAAGATGCCGTCCCTTGCTGTCGGAGGTGCAATCGTTAAATGTCTCCCACAACCAGAGGTTCATTTATTGAGTCCAACCATTGTTTTCATCAGTCTTCGGCCCAGTACAAACAGCATCCGCCGATTGGCCTACGCGTGGGACGGACGAAGTGTGAGTCCTGACGACTGCACGGTCGCCAACCTCATGTATTGCAGGCCTCTCGAGAGCGCCCCTGTACTCGTATTTTTGGTTGGTGTGGCGACGCCGTTCAAGGATGTCTGTTCGAGTGGAACGGTTGCGAGAACGATCTGCTGTTGTTCGATCCAAATGCTTTTTGCTTAACTTAGGGAATAGCATTTGTATGGCATCTGGCTAACACCAGCACATGTATCGTCGAGCATGGAAGATTTTGACGGATTCTGTGGAGAGTTGCAACTTCGTACTAACGTGACGCCTCTGATGTACATATGCGCGCATGCGTGATGGTGTTCTCCGACTAGCAGGAGGTTCTCCGTAGCTTGTACCCAGGGTGCCCGTTCGAACGGGAAGTGCTGGGGCTCGAGATGGCCCAGCTCATCTTGTCAGAACTACTGCCGTCAGAAGAACTGGTTGCATCGACCGAATCCGAGACTGCCCTCGCAAAGGTTTGTTCCATCTCGGTAACGTTAACCCTTATCCTAGCTCTCAGTAGCCGTGGATTCCGACTCGTGCCGCCGTCGTGGTTCGAGTCATGGCTGCTGAGAGGGTTTTTGGGAGTGCGCTGATGGCATCCGTCATGTGCGTATCGAGGATAGCATATTTGCGACTTGCCACCGGCACGGTAGCAGCGCACAGTACCAGCACGGCGGTACAAGTAGCTGGAGAGCGGCCTGTCTGTTAGCTTTCTTATCCCAGTACTCTGCGTACAATAGGTACGAAATGAGGAATCCCCCCTCCCCCCCTCCGTACCGTATCGATCGACTTTACGCGTCTTTCGAAACGGTCTGAGCGGTATCATCTCCATCTCATCTTTGCCGGCATTGCCCGTACGTAACCAAGGCAAACTATTCCCGAAACACGCGCCCGCTGCACTGCTATACTTGCGCATTCGAACCGGTCCCAAAAGGTGGCGTCTTCTTCTCTCTTCTGCTGGCACTGGGTGGACACGCTGCTAGCCTTGCTGGGAAGCAGCTGGGACCGCTCCCGCGCCCTCGCCTACTCCATCCTCGCGCGCTTCCCGCGACCTCTTGCCGGCTACGAGGGTCTCGGCGGCGCCACTCGCCTAGCAGAACAGGGGCTGCGCTTGAGCGGCAGCGGCCGGCAGCGGGAAAGCGACCAGGGTGCCCTCATCCTTCGTTTGGTGTTCGTGTTGTATGCTCGAGGGCTACGTCTGCGGGTGCCCCTGCTGGGTACCGAGGTTGCGGGCGGGGGCGCCGTGGGTGGAGATGTTGCAGATGTGAACAAGCTCGGTCGAGGAGGTGCTGTCGCGAGCGATGGGGTCGGCGTTGCAGTGGAGGACGATGGCGGTGATGATACGGCAATCTTTCTCGAAGGTCTCTGCGGTGTCCTCTCGCACAGGTGCTTGGTTTGGTACTTTGGCGTGTTGAGCTGGTTTGAACTTCGAAGGAGACTGTTTGGTACTCGATAGCCTCCTTGCAAAGCAATCGGTTTTTGACTACTTCTGTTACCTCTTGTCCTTCTGCAACGGGGGTATGACTACGCGGCCCCCAGTTGCACAGTCGATGAAGATCCTATGTTGGATTATTTGGAACGCTCATCTGTAGGCCAAGTGGATCCAGCCCTGGCTTTTTGGCCAAGCCTCCGCTTCCCCAGCATCGTTCGAGGGTTTCCCATTGCGATATTGTTGGGTTAGGGTTAGGGTTAGGGTTAGGGTTAGATCGAGTTACCGCTCCCGGAGACCAATGTTCTGCGTTGCCCTATGGCTCACCTGGCAGGGGATGCAGGCATATGCGTGGCACTAACAAGTAAGAGAGGAAGTCAACTTGATGCGGAATGGAAGACGAAATCAACCTTTTTTTTGCTCCCACACATGGCACAAACCCTTGTTGTACCAAGATATTGCACAGCTGTACCGCCCTCCCGCACACTCATTTCAAGATCAGCCAACGGACAGGGAGTAAAAGCTTTCTCGGGTACTGTGTTTGTGGTCAGGTTGACAATGTAGGGCCGCCGAGTACACCCCGGGAAGGTGTGACCAATCTCGGTGAAGCCGCAGCTCTGCTCCCATCCCGGCACTCAAAGCATTTTGGTGTGCTCCGTTAAGGTACAGAGGCGGAAGCGATGTTACCCTTCTCCCTCAGGATCAAATGTTTGTCTTGTCTTTTCGAAGGGTAAGGTTACGTATTCCTTAACGATGCCGGCCTCCCAGTCTTTCTCCCTTGCTCGTTGTTTTTTTGCTCCGGGCGAACACCAGGCTCGACGGTATGCAGGGTTCGTTCGACGCAATCCTCGCGAACAAGCCCGGTAAAACCTCCGACACCGCCACCGCCGCCCTCGCAGTCCGCGTCACCCCCTCCTTGCCCCACGGGGTCCTCCTGGCGACTCACCACGTGCTGCTCGAATCCAAGCTACGTGCTTCAGGAGCTGGACGCTCCTCCTCCTCCTCCTCCCCCGTCACTGGCCAAGGCCGTAGTCGGCGGGGGGCGAAGCTGCGACGTGCCGGGGGGACGGCGGCGACCGCGGGGGTGGGAGGGGAGGGCGGTGCGGTGCAGTGGGAACGGCGGCGAAAGGCGGCGACTTTGCTGCTGGAACAGGCGTTTCGTTCGCTGCGGCTGTCTTTGCTGATTGTTGGGGAGAACGGCTGCGGTGATGATGAGGATGATGGTAATGATGAAGGCCGCGACATCTGTGATGACACCACCGACGGCGAAAACCCTGAGGGAGCCGTGAAAACCTCACGCAAGCCCCGCTCCGGGGTGAGCGTCAACGCGAACGGGCACATGGGAATGGTGTCCCTCGACACCGGCAAGCAAACCGTGTGTACGGCACCGCTCACGGGAAGCAGCGGAAACAGCGTCCTTGATTGCGCGGACGGCGCAGCGACGGAGGACGACACCCACGGTATGTCGAAACACGGCGACTGTGGCAACGACAGCAGCGGTGGCCTGGAATGGGGTGGTGGGAGTGGGCAGCACAAGACGGATACGGCGCAGCGCTCGGCAGTGGAAAGCCAGCGCGCGGTCGTCGGGGCGTGGCTGCTGGCGAAAGAGACGTGCCGTTTTTTTTCGACGCTCGTCGCGGCGTCGCCCCTCCCGTTGCAGGAGGAGGAGGAGGCTACGGGAAGTCCTGACTTGAGCGCTGGGGCGTCGGATGGGGGCAAGGGAGCGGATGTGAGGGGTTCAGGATCCCTTCTAGCGGCCAAAGACGTGACTGCTATTGGAGAAACGCTGCTCAAGACCTTGTTGTCTTTGAAGCACATGGGGTGCGTGGCGTCTGCTCAGGTGAGGGGCAATGATGCGTTCACGTTCGTACGTGTGGACAATTGTACCGCTTCGCTGTTTGGGTGGGGTGAGGAGGGCGCAGCTAGATGCTTTGTGTTGAAGCTGCAGAGGTCCGTTCGCAGTTGATGGTGACGATGGTGGTGACGATCAGCCGGTGCGGCAGTACCTGGTGTGGCTTTATCACACGACTGATCGATTTCAACTCAGACGGTCCAATGTATCCCCGCAATCTGTTCTTATCGTACCCAAGTTGTTTTTCGCTACGCTGTTGTCGTGTCGAACCTCGCGGGCTAATCCTTTTCAGGCTGCATTGCAAACGGTATGCGAGGCAATGCTCCACGGAGGGCGGCGGAACGCTCCCTTGGCGCGTCTTCCATCCCTCTGGCTGGACCAATTACTAGGCCAACTGGCCGGAGAAAAGCAAGAGGTGAGGCTAACGCACGACAGGATTGACCCGCGATGGACCTTGTGGCTGATAACGTAGCATTGGTACCGAACGTAGCTGGTCTATGCACATGGCGAACTCCTGCGGCTCGAGCGCGTCTCGTTTTCACCGCCCCTGGACCCCCTTGTTTGTTTGTGTTGTGTGCGTGCGTGGAGCACAGATTACCGTCAACGGTTGGCCGTCCGCCAAGTCGCGTTATGCCTCTTTCAGTCACAAGGTCGTTCATACTTTAGCTGCTGCGGCACCTGTTGTTTTTTTCTGAGTTCTCTTTTTGATCTGTTCGTATAGATATAGCCCGAAAGACTCTCACAAGACCCAGAAGACACCCTTCCGCTTGTGTCTTTTCATCAGATAGACGATCCTATGTGGGCCTTGTCCCCGGCCTGTACCCGATGTTTGTCTTTCCCGACATTGTCGCATCATTGGCCCATCTGTCGTCGTTCCCTAACCCTCCTCCAGAAGTCTTCTCGCCTAGCATGCGCAGTCGTTGTTTTTTTTCGAGCTCCGCCCCCCGAACCCTGTACCTTCTATTGTTTTCTCCGGTTTGTCTTGGTTTCTGCCTGTTGTCGCTGGCCGCCTCCAGAAGAGTTGTGCACCCCCCCCCCCAGAAAGCGCCTTGCCTCCCGATCCCAATCCTCAACCCCTTGTACGCGCATCTTGGGACTCCGTCCTACCTTGGGGAACATCCGTCGTCGTTCATCTACGCACTGCTGTGTCTCATTCCTCTTTTCTGTGCGCGCTGTTCTCATTTCCTTTCCAACCTGCCTCCAATGTGGCGCCGGTTTTCTCTCCTCCATCTTCTGCGAATCACCTCACACCGAAACGTACGGTCGACGGTGGCCCGCGAACAATCGGGCAGTTCGTGCTCCGCCGCAGCACCGGGTTGGCGTTCACGTTCATGGCCATTCTCAGAGCGGAGCCAAGGTCAGTTGCCGACTCCGATTTTCTCTGAGTGCGGCATCGTGACCTTTTTCAACTTGTATGTTTTTTAGTTTTCAACACTCTTGGTGGCACAGCATCTGCATTGGCCCGCGAACAATCGGGCAGTTCGTGCTCCGCCGCAGCACCGGGTTGGCGTTCACGTTCATGGCCATTCTCAGAGCGGAGCCAAGGTCAGTTGCCGACTCCGATTTTCTCTGAGTGCGGCATCGTGACCTTTTTCAACTTGTATGTTTTTTAGTTTTCAACACTCTTGGTGGCACAGCATCTGCATATGTGATTCTCAGATTACCCACCACTATGTTTGTGTGCATAGTTCGTGTCACAGCTTCGCCTGTCGTCTCTGTCGTTGTTGTCGTTGGTTGCTTTTTCAATGCGGTACTATCAGTTCTGACCTCGGTTTTTCACCTTTTCTACACGCTACTCATCAGAGCAAGACGAACACACCCGCGGCCACAAGCTGCACCCGAAAATGACAATGATTTACGAAGTACTGTATATTCCCCGAGAGAGAAAGCTGTCTACCACCCCCCAATCCTATTTTTTGCAAAGGTTGCGTGGTGACGTCTGCTATTAAATAGTGGATGAGGCGATGTAATTTCCACGTACGCCGGCATGGTGGAATAGGGCAAGCGTTATTTTTGCACGTGGGTTGTGTGTTGTACCCTTTTTATAGCGTACCACCGTCTCTCGTGGTATGGTGGGAATAGGTCTCAATATTTTATCTCCTTGCTGAACGAGCACAAGGTCTGGTGTTGGCGAATTTGAACATGGCGTGCTTGTCTCGCGGTTAAATTTGATGAACACTTGGGTCGTGATACGTACGACACATACACAGGAGCTTCCATTTTTTTTTGTCAACGATTGTTTTCATCTGGTTGCAACACAAGTCGGCATGGTAACGCTAACCCCTTAAACCCTAGCCCAATCGTAAGCTGCGTATCTCTGTCCCGTAAATAATAAAAAGGAGATGCTGGTCAATCGAAACTGTATATATTGCTGGATTTTGCCGTCTCGGTTGAAACATATGTCAGAGTACACCCTGTGTTGCCACGGTTGTGTTGCTGGCACCGTTTGTTTTTTAGCCAACCGTCGGTGTCCTCACGGTGGTCGTCGATTTGGTTGTGGCTGTGGTTTCTTGTGCCCGTCTCTTCGGCACTGCTACCCGAACGTATTCTATCGGCTCTCGCGACTTCACACGCCTGTTCGGTTGCTTCGTTGTCGGGAGTTGTCGTGTTTATTTTTGTACATTGTTTCGTTGTGTCGCTGCTGTTCTTTGGCTTTTTTTCTAGCAGGAGTGTTGAGCCCGTTTTGCTACCCCGCTGCATGGGCCACCTGCTGGCGATGGCAAAGGCAAATGAAGCTCAATCCAAGGACAAGGAAAGCAAGAGCAAAGACAACACCGGCGACGACACTCAGGTAGCACCGAAAACGCTGGTGGACGAAGGAGCGTCGAAGGGCGATTGGAAGAGCACGGTGCATGCTATGAACGTGCTGAGGGTTGTTTTCGTGGACGCCACCCTGGCCGACGACGTCGGTCCCTACGTCACCGAGGTACGAAAAGTAAAAACGGATCCGTGATCCCCGTTCCAGATGTACTTTTACTTTCGTACGGAGGCATGTCCCGTGCGTACATGGGGACGCTGCCGGTTTCAACGCACGGAACACAGATACGGTTTCATTTAGGTAGGTATTGCATGTTTTCATCTCACAGTGCTTCTCACGCCGCCGTTTTTGGTCAGGTTTGTTACATGACCGACATTCGAAGTACGTAGAAAATAGGTCTTGTTGTCTTCGTCTCCCTGTTAGTTTCGTAGTCCGAACAAAGGGCTTTGCTCGGCCTTCTGCCCTATCCGTCGTCCTCGACCATGTTGTTTAGGAGCTTTTATGCCCTTGTATCCGCATCGCAGAACTTTGGTGGGGCCTCTAGTATGGACGTGATTCGGCGTTCTTTTTGAGAAAATGTTGGAACAGAATACAAAGCTGTGGACTTCGGACAGCAATTTTTCAAGTGAAAAGCAGCGCACCGAACGTGTTGGCCGTACACGTTAACCCTTTTTTTTGGGGGGTGGGTGGGCTGTTTCTCCTGCCTGGCCTATGTGAGTTTTTTCCTGGATGGAGTGTTTCTGGGAATCCTTCCCTCCGACAGTAGTTGTAGAGAACCACAGCTTTGAGCAACAGCAACAGCATAACCACCACCACCACGAAAATCACCACCAAAAATTTAATGAGAACAACAGCGTCACGACCACCATGAAGAAAATATCACCATCACGACCACCACGAAAACCGCTACCATCACACAACCACCAACGATGAATACGACAACACCAACCGAACGCAAGACGTACACCACTCTCGTCCGCCACAATCAGCGAAACTGCTACCTACCCAAACGTGCAGGCTACGATGGCGGCCGTCTGCGGTTTTGAGCACCCTATGTGGGCCGTCCGTAACTCGTCCATGATGCTCTTCGCCTCGATCATGCAACGAGCCGTCGGAGGAGCGAAGAACGCCGCCGAACCTGCCGGAAACCCCTGTGAGTACCGCGGTGCGATATTGTCGACAATTTGACGAGAGGTATAGCGGGAAGCCCTGGACAACACGGTCGTGGGAAAACCTCTAACCAGTCAGGGGGACCCTCTGGTGCGGTCCTTGGGAGCGGGAAACACAAACTTTTTGCCTCATCGCAAGTGGCATGGTGCTTGATCCTCCTAGTCGTAGCTGTGCAGCTCTGCTATTGCCACCACGTTGCACGGTGGCTTCTTCATTTTTTGCTTGAGCAGCGTGCTCAAACCCTTGGTAACCCAAGCTGAGGGCTGGCAATTCGGCAACTGCTCTCCCTTGCCCAACCCTTGGTGCGAGCTGCCTGCCCTCGTGTGGGGTGTTGCATGGAGGCTTTCGTAAAACGTCCGCATGTTCAAACGGCTTCCAGGGTTTCGCGCTCAGCGTTTGTTGGGGACATTTGTTGCGGGCGGGGTTCCTCGGGATTGTTGTCTCGCTTCCCTGCTGTCTCACGTTGCGAATCGCGTTTTTTTTGTTTTGGTCGTTTTTCCATACATCCCTACCAGTGTCGGACGGGTCGAAGCGCCCGCATTCCGCCCGAGCTGCTGTTGCCGCTGAGGCGTTTTTCCAGCAACATCCCAAGTGAGTCCTACACGCATTCCCCTGAAGCACATGCGGTTGCACTTATCTTGCCGTATTCTGGCGTGGACTTAACGACCTCTATCGTGCGTTCATGTTGTTTTTTCCTTTTGTTCACCGTCGTGAGAGGTGTCAAACACTTGGGAGTCATTGTTGGATGGTGTCTTTGACAATGACCTTTTTTTGTGTTTATATCCAACTAATTGGTCGGTCAGCGGAGTCCACCTTTGCCCTTTCCGCGGTGCTGTGGACCGTGTGGTACGTTGTGACTGGAAATGCCGTGATTCCAAGCTCCTTGTCGTCACTCATATTGTGTGCTGCTCTGATTACACGCGTGCCAGGCTCCACCCCTTCCTCTTGTCCGAATTGGAGAGGGCCACCAACTGCACCCCCGAGGCCGGCACTGGGTCTTCGGGCGAGAAGGAAGGGCAAAGGGCAGCAGCAGCAGCGGCGGCAGCACGGGCCGAGATGCATCCGGTGCTCTACCCCATTCTGCTGCTGCTCGCTAGGCTTAAGGCTGGGGGCGAAACAAGCAGCTTGGGGATTGGGCAGGCAGAGGTATGAGCATGTGAGGCTTATGACGTTTGCTGGGTACATATATCGCGGGGTGAAGTCATCTTTTGTAGCCGGAAGTGCTATGGTACCGCTTGGAAAGATCAAACCCATCGCGCCACAATCGGTTGTTACATGTTTTTTTTTCTTTGATGTTTTCTTTTCCTTCGATGAGGTGGTGAAACTACCCCCGTTCTCAATGCAGCTCGTTCCTTATTTTGGAGTAAGAATTGTGACAGCGGGAACTCGGTTCCTTGCATTTGACGAGTACCGAAGAAGAGGAAATAAGGTTGAACCCACAGCGGTGGCAGTCGCAGCACCGATGTGATGTCTACCCGAGTCAACCGTGCTCGCGAGAGAAGCTGTTGTGGAAGTCGTGTTTGTTGTTCTGGTCCTCAGCGTGAGGAGCGCATTTTTCCTAGCGACGAAAAACACAGTGCCCCTCCCTTGCTGATATCTCGAGACAGGATGGCTGCCCTGGTTGCAGGAAAAAGGGTTGTCTTGGCACCGAAAACAATTTCCAACAAGGGCTAGGCGGGAGACGGCTCGTTGGGCATGGTTTCGGAAGTGCGCGCGAGGAGTATTGTTTTTTCGCACGCCCCCTCCGTGTTTATCCATCTTGACCTTCTCAGTGCGCGGAATGTGCGATACACATCTACAAGGCGTTTGCTCAAGCGCGTGTTGAGGTTCACTTGTTGCGAACGTTCCTTGCTGGATGGGATATCCACAAGGCACGCGTGTACGGCGCCGCGAGGCGGCGGCCTGCTAACACTCGGGAAACGTTTTGTGTACCGTCGTGCGTGTCGCAGCGCGGGTCTCAGGTAGGCGCTTGTCCCCAGGACGCTGCAACACTGACAGAGTCGTTGGTACCGGCAGTCATCTGGTGTGCCGGTAACCCCCACTTTCTTGCAAGACTCGCGAGCTCCCGAGCCCTGGCCGCCCTGGTCCCGCCCGCTCGAGCCCACGGTGTGGTGATGGACCTCATCCGAAGGTTACCGAAGAGCCCAGCCGATGCAGAGTCGACCGGCCCCGACGCACACAACCACGTTCATGGTGAGGATTAGAGGATTAGGATTAGAGGATTGGATCGTTCAAGCTTCCTTGTTTCGTGCATTTCGTCGTTGTCGCCTTGCGAGGGCGTGCGAGACGGCATTGTTTCGTGCCTTTACATGGGAGCCCCGTCGTGCTGTACGGGGTGACCACGATGGTTATTGACAGGTGTCGTTTTTCAAGGCGACCTGTCCCAAGACGTGGACGGACGTCATGCTGAGGGCGGAAAGCGCGCTGTTTATGTAGACTACAGACACCAGAAGAAATAGGTAATTCAACCAATCCGAATGGTTGATGTGAAATCTGTAGTACCCTTTCGTGTTTGCTTCCCGCTGTTGTTCCGTTTGTTTTCATCCCGAGATGAGACCGCGCGGTCGCTGGTCTGCGACATAGTTGTCGGCCAACTTGGCGTAATATCTGCGCTTTTGCTCCTTGGAGCTCAAATGCTTCACTAATGTCCATGTGCCTCGTGCTTTGCAGGACGAGGCGGTAAGTTAATTCAATACAAACAACATGTGTATATAATGAGGGTTAGGAATATCTGTACTTGCTGCGATTCAAACAGCGACGCGACCCCTACTCTCACCGAGCGGCCTCTTCACTTGTTCCGTGCCAAGCTGACTGCGTCATTGGTGCTGCTGCTGCTGCTGCTGCTGCTGCTGCTGCTGCTGCTGCTGCTGCTGTGCTTGAATGTGGCACGGCCGGTTTCGACCCTAGCTTCTTCCTATTGACTGCCCAGACCGCAACAACCTTTTCACAACACGAGCTACTACCTAGCAGAGAGTGTCTTTGCAAGTGGTCGAGGTTTTTCTCATGGGGTCTAAATTCTTGGGTGAACCGTTCCTGTGTCGGACCCCGGTGGTGGTGTAGGAACTTTGCTCCAGGTGCTGGAGCTGCTGCTCGCCGTGAGAGCTCGATCGAACAGTGGTCAGCCTGCGGGGGCGACAACGCAGGTAATTCGTAATTATCCTCGCTTTCTGGTGATTTCTCGATCCTTGGAGCTATGATCTCTGGCAGTGCAAGCGTCACCCCTCAATGATTATGTGTGTCAATTCCATTTCGTTCTACGCGAACGTTTACACCTTTCGCGTATACTTTCTAGACGTATGTATCGAAGCGGGCCACGTGGAAGGAACGCCACAGTGCGGCTCCTCGTAGTGCCATGGCAAGCAAAATGTCTGGCTGGGTACCGTCTTTGCCAACTAGTGGCGAGCATCTTTTGGGGGGCTATCGTTGGATAATGCCATTGGCCGATATGTGTTGGTGTAGTTGGCGGGTTTGTCCCTTCTCTTCCTTGCTTTTCAAAGCCATACAAACAGTTCTCCTTGGTTAGACCATTCCTTACGGTTCTTTTTTGGAGCTGTATTTTTCTTTTTTCTTTCTCAAAAAAAGACCACTGGCCACAAAACCCCTCTTACGGTGTCTTTTATCAGGGAAAAAAGGCCAACAAAAAAGACAACCCGTTTTGGACAGCCCATCCTGTCTTTTTCTGGGGCAGTTTTGGATAAGTCGGGGCTGTCCGAAAATGTTATATTTTTTTGGCCACAATCGCATGACTCTTACCTACAAACTTGAATCTCTCCACGGTTGATCCCCGCAAACCCTAACGGTGGTCACACGAGTTGTGCCATGTGGCTGGTACAGAGTCTGTAGCACCGGTGGTAGCCGTTGTTTTTTCGTTTGGCTGGACCAGGTGGACGACCCGATGTGTGCGGCAAATAAGCGGCAAACATACCGGAGAGAGCCTGGCGCAGCAGCGCTGGGCCATTTTTCGTGAATTGTCAACTTTGTGAACCCAACTTCTGGGCGTCCTACAGCCTCCTGGTCTTTATTAGCCATCACACAAGACGAATCATACGCACAGCTCGTGACGCATACCTTAAGTCATGGCTGTTGGTTGATTCGGTGGCGAGGAAGTACCGGTAAACCAAAGTTGCGACACGGGTAAAGGAGCAAAAAAAGCTGCTTGAAGATGCGGCGGGTCATTTTTCCCGCTTGTCCGCTACTCTCGCGCTCACAATCTCGAGCGCCCTATAGCCTCCTGGTCTGTACCAGCCACCACCCAAGACCGACCATACACACAGCTTGTGGCGCATACCTTGGTCATCGCTGTTGCTTTAGTGGGTGGCGAGGGAGTACCGGTCAACCAAAGTTGCGACACGGGCAAAGGAGCAAAAACAACTGTTTGTTGGAGTTGGCTGGAGCGGTGGGCATTTTTTCAGCGTGCTGTTTACTCTCGCCACCTCAGTTTTCGTGCCTCCTATCGCCGCGTGGTCTCTATCAGCCGCCACACAAGACGGACCATACCTACAGTTCGCGAGGGATAGCTTTACGTTCCTGCTGCTTCACTCTGTGCGGATATATCGCCGAAAAACCAAAGCGGTGGAAGGGTTACGTAGAAGTATATGACAACGACCGTTGCAGGGTCTGTTTTTTTCTGTCGATGACTCGGAAGAGAAAAAATGATCGACCAGCACCATAAGAAAGGGGTCAACTTTTTTGTAAATCCCTTTTTGGGTCGTTCCTTCGGGGGGAAACAAGATCTAGAAAAATACCCCGTAAGGGATGGCCTTAGTAGCCTACAAGGAGTAAAATAGCAGGAATATGGATCAGAGAAACATTACTACTCCCGACGGACGGGAAAACCACCCTGTTGCTACATTTGTATATTTTCTACATGATTGTGGAAACTCAAAGCGAAAGGTTCACAGGGACAAAGAACACTTTACAAGGACAGTATTAGTCCCATCACACAATCAAACTGGAAATGTGTGGCGCTTTTCGATTTCTCGAATTCTCGAAGCATTTTTTTCCACCGTGCGGCGCCGATCCCGTGGCAAACCTGGAACACCTTCCAAAGCTTTTCTTTTTTCCCGTATCCCTGACGAAGTTACTGTGTTGTTTACCATGAGTCGAATTGACCGGCCGGATTTTGATCGGTTCCATTTTGTTTGCAGGTGCGCGAGATTTCAGTGGATAGTCCTGATCCCGGATCGACGTGCTCAGAATCGGAGGCACAGCTGCCGAAATTGAGTTCGGCCGTGCTGGAACTCTCCTGGCTCGCTGACCCGATGCAGTCACGGTGCCCCCCGATTAGAAGCACCATGCTTCAGGTTCTGGAGGTGAGGGGGATCTTAGCAGGTATATAGCCGGGGTGGGCGTCGTCCGACCTGGTGCACAGTGAACTTTCAACCGAACCATCCCGAGTCATAGCTTATCAGCTCGATCGTGTAGCTTGCCCCAAGGACCCAGGAAGACGCTGTCACGCCCGTTATGGTCTCAAGTCCGTCGAAATTGTTCTGTAGGCAAAATCGCTTGCCGGCGAGTCAAGACGTTGAATATCCTTTGTGGTATGACAGGAGCTCCTAGCGTGGTGCTTGCGCAACTTAGGCATTGCGGCTGGTACTGTGAGGTCCCCAAAGGAAACACGACGAAAAACCAAGTGCGGAGTGATTGCTGTGAAGTTGCGTTAGGCCAAGAAGGTGCGCAGAGTATTTTTTTGTGCGTGATTTGAGCACACTGATGGGCCGATTCTTGTTTTCCGGTTGGTATGATTGTTGTACTTGAGCACAGCAGTTAAAGGTTGCTTCGTTTCTCGCACGAATGTGCAACCGGCCACATCGGTGTTGGAGTCAAGGCTTGGAAAAAATTCGATCCAACAAGGTTCACTTTTTTTTTTCTTCTCACTGACCGTCGCGAGATCCGGGACCCCCAAGACAACTACTCAGTTTTCCTCCCAATACGAGGGTGAACGAATATCTTGCTCCAACAAGACATAAGGCGCGGCGTGAGCATTGTCTACGTTGAACACCCTTTGCCCTCGCCGCTCAAGCGTGTTTAGGTGCCTCATGTTCTTTCCACGCATCTGAAAGGGCTGGCAACAGTTCTGAGTCTTCCATTACCAGGGTTTTCTGATTGCTCATGGCGTAGTGTTTCGCACGGATGTGCCCAATCAAACGCTCAAATTTTGACCCTCACCACTTTCTCGTATTGAAAGCACACCAAGAGCATTGGCACTATTGTATAATTCCCACGTTTTCAGCCGAAGCACTTCCCCACCGGTTGCCACGAGTCAGGTGCTCTCTGGGTTCGAGACCGAACGGGGTCGATGTATCCCCACGCCTGGAGCAGTCCAGTCTGCCCTTCATCGCGCCGAGGAGATGAACTTCTCTCTTGAGACCGGCCCGCAGATCAGACCGTCTGGGGACCGCCGCGTGGTGCCCGGTCGTTCTGTCCTGGCTTCCGCGGTTGTCGGCGCGGTGATTCGACGCCGCCTGACCCTGGCTTTCAACGGGTGTAGGGCGGCTGCCGAGCCTAGACCCGGCGCTGACGTTAGGTTAGGCAAGGGCGCTGCGATAAATCCAGCAGCAGACACAAGGGAGATTGCCGGCGAGAGCGCCACGGGCGTGGTGGCGAGCGCGAACCCCGGGGTTGGTGGTGTTAGCGCGCGCGTGACCACTGCGCCGGGTAAAAAGAAAGGCGAGGAGGAACACGAAACGTCTGAGGTGACGCAGGCGCGGTACGTGGCGGAGCTGTTGTCTACACCGGACGTAGATGTTCGCGACGCAGCGATCAAGGCAACAAAGAAAGTTTTTGGCGAGGATTCCCGTCGGAGGAACCTGGTGATGTCCCCGCAGGGCTCGTACCTGATCTGGGCTGGTGCTGCAAAAGCACTAATGGAGGAGAGCCACCCTCGGAACGTCAGGCGACTTGTTCGCCTGCTGGCTCGTGTCGGCCTCCATCTGCGAGGGTATTGTTTGCCTCCTGCTGCAGTAGACTCGCTGTGGAAGCATCTTCGAAGGCTCTTCGACGGTGAAGGTGGGCCGGGGGAGGCCCAAGCCGGTGCCTTGGAGGTGATGGGGGTAATAATCCGCCTTGACAGACGACAGCGCCTGGTGGACGAAATTCAAGCCGATGAAGAGGGCGGCTCAAGCTTCATTGCCGTTCGCGTCGAGGAGTACGCGAGCTTTTTGGAGCGGGCGGTGGGCCCCGCTCAACCGGTTGTAGCGAGGGCCGCCGCGGCCGCGTCGCTGGTGTCTTCGGAGATCCTTTCGACTCCTGCTCCAACGTCTACCACCTGTACTGCCGCCGCTGCCGCCGCGCGTCCCACGTCCACCGCATCTTCTGCTGCTGGCAATGACACGAAAGGAGAAGCTAGATCGATCCCACGATTGGGTGCGGCCGCTGGAAAGACCGCGTCAGGTCAGCACCGAGAACAGTGCCCGGACCTTTCCTCCGGCACGTTTGGGAGGTTGTGGTTCGTAGCGCTGTCGCTCCTGCAGGATGATGACGAGCGGGTACGCAGTTTCGCCGCACGCTTTTGCTCCGCCGCGGTCAGTAGCAACAGCAGTCCCGCCCGAGGAGCACCAGACGTGGCAGGTAAGCATGTTTCTTCCCGAAGTTCGAAGAAACGGCAGTGCAATGTTGGAGACACCGCGCGCTGCTATTTTGCGCCGAGTATGAAGCGTTAGAGACCGTCGAATTTGTGTTCCGTCGAACGACCGCGGGCGCGCTGTAGTCGTTGATTCACTCATCCATTTCGAGCAGGTTGCGAGTGTGGTGCGATGGCTGCTATCTGTCTGTTGGCTGTATTGCGAATTCAGTTGTAGTCTGGACGACGTCTGATGGAATATTCAGCGTCGAGGCAAAAGGTAGAAGTACCTTCCACTGCTTTCGTACCCCGTCGACATCTTCCGCCGTCCTTGATTATTCCCAAGGACAGTTTCATCTCGTATTAGTCGTCTGTTTCCTCACTTTGGTATCTGCTGGTCGCTTGGTTCCGATGGTTGGTGTCACTATTTTTCCATATTTTCTCTTGCAAGCATCCTCACTTGATGACCTGCTTTTTTTCCTACCGCACTCTCGTCATGACGGTTGCTGCGATTGTATTCAACCATGATGTTGGTGCTTATCTATGCACCACAGTCGCGTCCTTCCATACTGTGCGCCGTTCCTACCTCCAGCTTGTACCTGTTTATTCCATTCTGTTGTACTGACCATGTTGCGCGTTTGCACCTGCGTACCACTGAAACCCTTTCCCCGGAAAAGGTGGCTGTGTGGATCTGTGCGCGGTGGATCTCGTCCTGGCCCATCTGGCGTCTCTTGCCAAGGAAGGCGGGGCGTGCACAGCGGAGGACCTGGTGCTGAACCTTCTTCGGGTATTCGACGGTATGTTGGCGAAATGCAGCATTCGTGCCGGACCATCGCTTGGAGGTATTGGTGACGGTGCTGCTGCTGGCATGAAGGGAGTTGGTGTGATCTCGCCGAGCCACGACGATGATGTAGATGACCTCGCTGGTGGGGACGGCGACGCCGACATCATTTTCGGGCGAGAGGAGCGAAGCCAGTTTCAAGAGCCGACGCTGTTTGCTGCCGTCGCTGCGCCCTACCTTTGCCGTGCACTCGAGGCTCTCGATGGTGGTGAGGACAGCATCCCCGTTTTTCCGGAACCCGTCTCGCAAGGACTCGTGGACGTACTTGGGAAGTTCGCCGGAATTTTTGAGGGGTTGAGCTGTCTGACGAGCTTAGCTTGGGAACCGGGTGTGTACCAAGGGGTCATGTGTTCTGCATTGATTGGCGCATCTCTCATGGAGTATTTGTCTTCTCGAGGCTGTCGGATTGAAAGTGGTGGTCGCGATGAAGCCGCCGGCATCGAACTATCTGGCCAGGTGCGACGTGCAAAAGAAGCATGCGAATATTTCGAGTCAGGTATTGGAGGGAGTAAGGGTTCACACCCCGCGGTTTCGGAGGTAGTTGCTCGAACCTTGCGTACGGTAAATTCGGAAGTAGCGGTGTCCCTCGAGCCTCAAGTGGCGTAGTAGTCCAGCTACGGGCCTTAGACTACGCCCTATTTTTTGCTTTGCCCAGCTAGCAGCATCGGCTAGTTTTCGATGACCTGTTGGCCATACCTGTCTTTTGGGCGTGTTCGACCCGTGCGCATATGTCACCCCTGGCGTGACAAGGAGGGTGCAAGAGGTGTGCCAAACATTGCCCTCCGCTTCGGTTAAGATATATCACGTGTTGGGCATGATCTGACACTCTGTAGAGTGTGGCTTGCCTTCATATCCTTTGTAAAGTTTGTTCAGTGGTCCCGATCTACAGTAGTCGTGACCCAGGTGTGCAGGGGAAGAGAGGGCGATTTGTGGTTTGTTTGGCGTGAACCGCCAGTGGCCGGGTGAATTAGCAGCGAATGAATTGGACCGAAGTCGGTGAGCAGGGAGAGGGGTTTCAATCTACGATGTTTTGCCGCTGCTGTCGTAATCTCTCGGCCTCGATTCCTCGTAAACTTCGGTGACGCCAGGGATACGCTCCGCCGACGTCAGACGCCTGCCTATGCACGCGGATTGTTCTACGAGTCGCTTGATGATGGTTTGGTGAGTGTGTATTCCTTCAGCCTCGATTTCGCCGACATCACACACATCACGCGTTCCCTCGCACAGGGCAGAATGAGTGCCTCGCCCTGCTGGCACGTGGACCAGGCTACTACTCCTTTCCGCATGTGTACGCATGTGTGAAGTATAGGCATCCCTTGTCCCAACCAACGCTGAAACGAAACCCATTCTGGCCCTTTCTACAAAGAGCCGGCTGATCGTCTCAACAGGCATACTGACGATCGCGACGAAAGTTCGCCAGTATAACCAAGATGAAGCCGGGTGAAACAATGCACCGAAAACCGACGTCGAGATCAAAGGGAATACATCACTGTTGGCAGATCAATAGAGAGAAAGTAGGCCATATCGCGTCATACTACAGGAACCTGAAGATGTCTTCCTCGTCACTCTTTGGAATGGAACTTACAAGAGATGTATGTTCACCATCGGGCTTCCGTAGGCGAAAACCCGCCCCCCAGCCTCCGGACAATCCACCACACGATTCGCTTCCGCATGGAAGAAGAAACTGAAATCGCCCGTTGCCCCGTCGATGGAGATCACGGCGAGCAATACCTTTTTCATGTACTCAACGACAGTGCATTTTCTACATTCGTGGAGACATCGCGGATACATGAATGTTATCCATGTAGCACTGACGATGTGTCATGCTGAAAATCCACAGGAACGACAAAATCAATTTTTACAGACCGAAATTCAAGCACGAGCAACGTGTGATGACACGGAATAAAATTACGAACAAACACAAGCTGAAAACCAAACATCGATACCCATCCGAGGTTGACTTACCACGGCCATGCTGAAAGAAGACGCTGACATACTGCGACAAATGCATTCAAGTGTGATACAGTACGAATACAGTTATAGGTACTTCGTACACGATATGATGTCGACCGCTAGTTCTACAGCTAGCTTGAAAGACCGAGGGCCTCGCTCGGAATCGGTACTACGCGCGGCTTACGGCAGTCACCACCGCCCAACACGCCGCACGACGACTTACAAAGGAGAGATCTCAACGCCGCCCCCGTGGAAATTCGAGACAAGACCTGATAGTCGAAGTTTAACAGTCGAAGCCCCTCCCACACATAATGGCACAAGGAGACGTAGGTGCTGGAGATGTGGCCTGTACGCTTCTACAGTAGCCTGTGCTACATTTTTTCTACAAGCTCTGTATGACGAGTTATCATATCTCGTCAACGAATCGCGATACTCGTAGGCGTGCCACGTTTGGACAACAGGAACATCATAGCTTATGGGCCGTTGCGAACACATAGATCGGGTGCCAGAGCACAAAGCTCAACGAAATGATCAACCCCAAATAAGTCTCCTGAAATTCCCCTTGCTCGTCGAAGGATTCTCTAATGCACCAGACCGCAGCACATAGGGCAACTACGAGCTCGACTAGGACACAGCGAGAATACTGCATCATGGTAATGAGCGGGGAGTGTCCCTCGTCGCCGAAAGGGCTCCAGCCCCCAACGCCGCACGCTATCGACACGAGAGCTCGAATCGTTCTGGCTGTACCGTAGTAGATGTCGATCGCTCCGATGTACACGTCGTGTATCGTCAGGAGCACCACCGCATAGAACGACGTCGTCGTGGCCAATTTGACAAGAAACGGAATCAGGAGAATCTCCAAGTTATAGATGCCCAGCACGACCAGGAACATAGTGTTTCCGCCGAGGTTTGTGTACAACAAGGTTGCGAGAACTACTAGAGGCCGGATGACGATCACTCGGGCGTTGAAGGTTCCGGTGTGCACCGTGGACCGCGATGCAAATGAGCGATAGAACGGAATGCACGACGATTTCGAGAATCGACTGCAGAAGTTGGCCGGAAGACCGTATGACCAAGCGAACAGATACTTGCTCAGGATCAAGTCGCCTCTGTCCCATCGGCTCTGCCGTAGATGCCACTCCAGGCAAGTGCCTGGAAATCCTTCGATAATCTCTAGCGTGGAGTCCTTGACGCACGTCATGATGCTGCTCTCGATGATGTCGTGGCTCAAAATGTCCCTGAAACACAGGTATGACACGCGAGGGGCATCAAGGAAATAATTGGTCAACCATGTAGGATACCTGGTACACACTGTAGTGTACATGTAGATTTCGACCAACTGGTTATAGGCGGGACGCTCAATTGAAAAAAATTGCGCAGGGTCGACTCGTGGTCGCAACCGAATATGCACAAAATAGCAGACTCGACCCGGCCATTGACTTTTGACACCGAGTGTGTTGTTCTATACAGTAGTGCGGACTCCGAAATCTGAATTGACCCAGAAACTTCAGGGGCAGGAATGAGATCCAGCAGGTGATAGAACAGGTGGTGGCATTATGTTAAAGTACGCATACTGGCCAAGATGTTTTTGAATATATTATGGGGCAGGCGAACTAAACGCACATGGGTCAATATCGAGTTTGTTTGGTGATGGACGACAACAAACCCTCGTGTACATAAAATGTGGGGAAAATATTGGGAAAACATGACGAAACAGGGGCAAGGGACACTACTGTACCGCAAGGGGCACTACCGGACCCGGGAAGGGGAACAAAAAATCCTACCAGTTCATGCTTAGACGAGGGGACGTCTGGTGAACCTCTCAGAACTACTGTAGAGGGTTCTGATCTGTCATCACCGGCAACATCTTCTAAAAATCTACGCACCCGCAGACCATTGTCCAACAATTACGGAGGGTAGCACTGCATTTGGAGTCCCGGCTATCTATGTAGTATTGTAGTGGGAAGAGGGCCCCGTGGGCAAATGCGATTGCGTTGGCTCGTGTGGTATCCATATGGCGACCCGGGTGACGTATACTCATTGTGAATGAGAGTACTATCATTATTGAGTGCCCTGTGGGTTGTATGCCAGTGACGAGTCATCTGCGGGCCAAGGCAAGAACAGAGTGCACCTAGCGGGGGCCGCAGTAGAAAAACCCAAATCCTTGTCCGGCATTCAAGGCGATGAATACCAACAAGAGATGTGAAGCTTCGCTCACCTGGGCAGGCGAGTGCCTTCCTCTGTTGTGTACGTCTCGGGGTTGTATCCCAAAAGCAGCTCGTTGTACTTCGTTGGCCGGATGATGCCCTTTCCGAAGAACGTCGCCGAAGGGAAAAACACTTCTCGAAATGCAGTCATCTTGGAGCCCATATCGTGAGACGCCATGGTGAAGGATCCGTAAAAGGTGTCAGATCCATCGGACGTCCGGGCGTCAATGTCAGGAGGGACGATGGCGGGCTGGATGATGTCGATGTCGCGGTCACTTCGGTTGTAGACTGAATTCGCCTTGACAAAGAAGGCCGCTCCCGAGACGTTATCCTCATCGAGAATGACCAGACGGTCAAACTCGAGATGGCCCTTGAAGTATTCAACATCGGTGGAGGCATCAAAGCACCCGGTCCCATCATCTGGGAGGGTATCCTTGTACAGAGCAACACTGTTCTCTCCGCCGGCCCCGTCATGACCGTTGAGCAGCATGATAAAATCGAGGTGCTGCCCGTACTTGTACAGGATGGACCTGTTCCGCCGAAGGTACTTGCACACACCGCCATCCTCTGAGTGCGACGCGTTCCACGATTCAATGGCCTCCCTCTCCCCCGCGTATAACTCTTCATCTGACGTTCCACTCAGAACTAGGTAAACGGCGTTGGGGTAGTCCTTGTTGCTCTGCCACGATTTTTCTAGACTCGCCAGGGTGTCATGAATGTCATCGGCCACCTTGCTCTTAAGACAGTATACAACGACGTAAGGTTCACCACTCTCTGGAGCTTCGAGAGGACAAATTTTCACTTTCCTGGACGTCTCAAACCCGTGCAGCTTCGCGGCTCCGAGAAGGATGCAGATATATTCGGCCGCAATGTCAGTGACGATGATGTTTGCTGCCATTGCTGATATGTAGCCACAGGCTGATAAGTGTCACAAGGAAGAATGACTTGGAAATCTCATCACCGGCTCCCCAGGGAGAAGCGAAGGATAGAACAACCGCGCAGAGGTTGAGGGTGAACATGAACGCCCAGCATGTCTTGTAGACAATGTGCTTCATGGTATGCTCCTGAACGGAACGTTCACCTGAGGAGACGAACGGTGGTAGAACAGGAAGAGGAGGACGGCAAAACCGTTGCCATTCGTACAAGAGATTGACACTTCGAATATCGCCAGACTGTGGCTCACACACCCTTGCTCTCTGTGCTCTGTTACCATCACCAAATCACGAAAGGAGCGCGGTCAGCAGCGAACACATCGGCCATGCCTACTGATTGCTCCTAGCGGTCCTGCACACACACGTCTTGGCAGTTCTCACGGCGGCCCAGTGGCCGGACTCGCGTGTTCGGCGCGGTAGATGAGCCATCGCTATTGCGCACGGGCTTTCAGCAGCAAAAAGGGGCATAGGTAGTAATCGGGGGAGTCCCGCCCTCGAAGGGAGCACATATAGAGGAGTAAGGGAGGGTACACGGACTTGGCCAGTCAGTAGGTGCATTTCGCCCGCCCCCTCAGGGGGTTCGGTGCTCTGCTGCTGCAGTGATATCGGTACACAGCAGTACAGCGAGCAGCTGCCCCACTCATCAGCAACGGCAGTATGACGCCTGGGAAATCGCTGCGGCAAAAGAGGGAAGGTCGGCGGGATAAGGCGGAGGAGTACACCTAGTTTCCTGGGAGCCTGGGAGTGTGAGTCTTCGCTTCAGCATGTCGACCCTGGGTGGCATCCCGAACCAACCCGGGGTCGTGAACATGACCGGCGTTAACGCGTCAACTCTACACCATTTCTTTTTCCCTCACACGTGCCAACGGGCACACGCGGTGCGATATTTTTTTCCCGTCAAAACCCTCAACCGTTACTTCATGTTGGCGTCAATCCTCAAAGGTCAGAATTCCGCGTCAATCCATAGTGGATATCCTATACTATGTATGTCCAAACGAAATAGAGATTGTGAACTTTATTGGGTAGGCACTCGTCCATGTTTAGCCACCACCAGGAAAGTACTTTTCCAAAGGATTTGGGGGGGTATTTCCCCCCGCGAGCGATAGACTGATTCAAAGATTCGCGATAGGTCGAATCCAACATTTGTGAGAGCCAGCAATTTGATGCATGTTGTTCGGTGCGAACTTAGCCATAGCTGAACCAGTGTGAGGTTATAGCACCGACTTCCACAATCGGCTGGACAACCAATGAAACTACGCCAGTCATTATGGCGCCATAATATCCAGGGCACACTTTCTAGTAAACGATACTTCTGCGTGCGGAGCCTACATGTATCATGCAACAATTGGCACCCGAACAAGCAGTCGCAGCCCTACGGGGTAAAAATAGCTCGTGTCCACCTGAACCGTTTCGGTGTAGTGAAGTACCTACATCTCCCACGGCGGTTCCAAGCGGCAAATTGTGTGGCTAGTGGGCAACGGAGAAGCTATTTGTGAAGAATACCCCATGCATCCTTGGGTAGAAATGAAAGGAGGACATAGATGTGATGGTGTGAAAGAGAGCAAGGTCCTCGAGTTTCTCGATATTCATTGCAAGTGGAGTGGTGAGACTTCGGAACGAACCGGAGAGAGAAAAGCGATAAAGTTGGGTAGCGGGGGCGTAGAGAAGCTGATAAAAAGTAAACCAGCGCCATGAAATCACATCACATGGCACTGGAAAAGAAGACACCATGGCAGTGGAAATGAAGATTGTGTTCGAAAACGGCAATTGGTTATGTCGGGTCTTATCCGCGTGCTCCGGAGGAAGAACACTGTGGTCCAACCTCCCCCGCGTCCCCCAGCCATTAGCGCGTCTGACGGGAAGGATATGTAGTTCGCGTTTGCATTACTTTCCAAAACGTTTATGTCGCCTATTTTAGCCAACGGGTCGGGAGGTTGATGTACTCTTTGAGCACAGACACCAAGTTTCACACCAGCTACCCAACACTAAGCCGCACTGAGACTGACGCATTTCGCAAGTGAGCTGGATACAGCGGTAGTGTGCGAATACATGTATGTACAGTACGGTACCGTTCAACGTGCTACTTTTCGGAGAAGAAATACGACGAATTCACCAGTAACCCGGTAACCCGGTTATGACTTCGTCCTATCAGGGTGCGGCGCTGTCGCGGGTTCATTCCGCCCCTGAAAGATGGACATTTGAATCCGTCGGCACTGACAGACTTAGTCTTCTCCTTTAGCAGAACGAATTTTCGGGGGGACAGCAGCACTCAAAGCAGATTGAAAGTTTCCCAATCATTAAAATTGGATATGCTGGTTGATATGTAGTGACTGTTCCTGTTGCGCTTTCGTGTGTCTTGTAAGAATCAATGAAGCTGGGCCTCTGAGTTCATTGAAAAAATTGAATTGTGTGAGTACATAGAAGAGAAGGGGTTCTTGACAGAACAACGCTGACCAACATACCCACGAGCTTTTCCAGAGAAAACACGTGCGGGTGGCGTCCATCTTTCTCGATAACCATGGACACCGCAGGAATTCACAGATAGATTTGCACCTACGATAGGAAGTGTTTCTGATACTTTGGGGCAAGTGTCCGAACATTTTGTATCGCATGGAGCGAACCACGCGTTGTCTACAGCAGTCGACATCAATAAAGTTTTCAATCTCGTTCGTAGTGCAGATGAAAATCGAATGAAAACATCCGACTCGGCGAGGCCTCCGGTTGCGGAAGAACGACCTCCGTTAAGACGCGCGTCCGCTGGCATTGAGTGATCCCGGCGGGTGGGGGGCTATCACTGATATCATTGCGTCACAAACGTCTCCAATACGGTGAGAGGCACGTCATCAAGTTCATACTTCAGTGCCATTTCTCTCTCTTTCTGGGCTTACTGAGTGAAGCGTCAAATGAAAACTACACGTACCGGAGCGACAAAAATGCGTGGAGTGCTGTCCAGCGTGGCATGACTTGATGGCGTTTCTTATGAAAGTCCTGAGCTCGATACACGCATTCATTGACGACGCCCAACGAACCCCCTTTGCCGTATGTTCGGTGTGCTCAGGGACATATGTAGTGATACTGTAGAATAGGGATAGACTATTTCTCGCGCGTTTCCTGTTCAAGAACTACGGTACTCGCCGGCAAGGATGGTATCCTGCACTGCCCTGCGCATTAAGATCCCATAGGTTTCATTTTCATTATGATCCCTTTGAGGTACTTCTTGGGAGAAAAACACTCTATAGCTCGACTGCATGGTCGACGAGGAAGGGGGGCGGCTGGCCCATTCTCGCGATCTGTTTTACAGAACGCAACCATCGTAGGACGAATGGTACGGATGGTACGGGGTTTGCTTTGAAGACAAATATTGGAGGCTGGCATAACATCGGACTCGATAGGACGGCATTCTCACCTTGGTCCATGCAGTTGAACGCTGATGGGTGAAGCGCGCCTGAGTACCTTGCCGGCAACTCCAGGCGCTTGATGTCGTAGACAATCTTCAGCGGGTGGTGTACAGGATGACAAGGTGTCAAGGGCGCGCTGTGGAAGGCGAAGGGGAAACGAGGGCATACCGGTTCAACAATGGACACCAGGTACTGTAGAAGATGCGTCTGGATCCCACGTTGCAGATAAATGTTTACATTTTCCCGCGGTTCCTCCGAATAACTGTTACGTGTGGTGGATACAGAAACTCTTGCAAGAGCGGCGTAGTACAGTTCACAGTCGGTACAGTGGTATATTTCCCCTCTTTTCTTGCCATGCATGTGCGACCGTGCAAAGGTATCGTTCAACGGTGGTGCGTGTCCATGGCGTTCTACATACGTACGTAGATTTCCTTGGAATTTCTAGTAACAACAACTGGCATTGTCCCTCCGTCGGACCTGAGCGATCTCAACGGAACTTATATGCCGACTAATTCTACATTGTATCAGGAGCTGCACGATGTCAGGTGAGACAGGTGATTTCAAGATTTCACAAAAGGCCATACTACTGTAGGGGGAACGATGGCGCCCCCAACCCCCCAAAGGGGCGGCCGTCTAGCCTCCCGTTGCAAGGCGCGGAAAAATCTCTAGAAGCCGATCACCCAACAAAGACTGTACCATGGTATACTCCAAGGATTCATTCTGTCGCACTACTTGAAAATTGGATTGATCCACAGCAGTACATGAACGTACAGTAATAAGAAGGTGTTCTTCGGCGAGTTGTCTTTTTTTGAGAAGGAAAAAAGAAAAAGACAGCCCCAAAAAAGAAACGTAAGAAATGGCCTTAAGTGCAGATTTTGTTCGTATTTTTTATCTCTGCACGCTGTACACACGTTTGCGTGAGACTGAATGCGACAGCTTTGGGCTGCCCTCGACCACCAAAATGTGTACTACCGGAACAATGGTCGTGATCGGATGAGTATGGTGAGGAATTCTAGACAAACATGCGGTCTCTTGACCAGAGCACGATCTCGTACGCAGAGCGGCAACCCATGGTTGTTAATGAATAGGAAGGTTTGTTCGTCGAAGCAGATAGAATAAACTGGTGTTTATTTTGTAACAGTCGAATTAGAATTGGCTTCATTTTCTACCGGAAACCCAGGGTCACGGTGTTTGGAATTATTAGTCTATAGTTGGGGGTGTCATTCCGTGATCGAGTCCACGCAGGGGCTGTAGCAAAGTCGGGTAACGTGCGACAGCTACAGAGCGCGTGAAGCAACGGAAGGACAGCAGCAGCCGCCTAACGCAGTAGCGGCGGCAGTTTAGAAAAGGGCGCAGAGCGCGTGAAGCAACGGAAGGACAGCAGCAGCCGCCTAACGCAGTAGCGGCGGCAGTTTAGAAAAGGGCGGGACGGGACACGTGGGGAAGCGACCAGCACGCGACTCTCCATATAAAGGTGTGTACTCGTGTCCAACATCCATCGTGTCGGCCGTGTTCCTATTCGCGTCCCGCTACTCTTGTGACCTCACCGCTGCGTGCATTTAGCACGA